TCACTCAGAGTGCTACTTTTATTTTCTGGACAATTCAACAGCTCTGTTCCTTTCCATTAACTCCAAAAAGCATGTTTGCCACATGTATTTTTAAAATGGTCTCTGTTAATCTTCCTTTTTCTCTGCTAGTGTACCACCACTTTCTCTTTATGTCCTCTTCCTTCTTTGCATACTTAGACCTCTTTGTACTTGATCGCTGTTCACGCTTCCCTTTTTATCCTGCCCTCCTTAGCACTCTCTCCTTCCTGAAATCTAGAGTGCTTGTGGTGTTTTCTCTGTTGTACCCATACCTGCTACTCCTTTTTTTCTTTCTTCACCCCATAAGTCAATTTGCACCTCTACCTCATAATCACTCCCCCTTTCTCTTTGAATGCTCTTATTCTTCTCACTATCCCATACTGCTGTAACTTTCTGAATCACTACAGGTCTCTCTCCATCTCCATTGCATTTAGCCTCCCTTTTTTTCCTTTTCCAGCTACCTGTTTTTCTTTATCATCACAATCTATTATTCTGCTCTGTCCTCTTTTTGACCATACCAGAGCTATTCTCTGTCCCCATTGCATTATCATTAAAATTAATTTCCCCTTTTCTGATGGAACTGTGCTGAATTCTCAGGAAAGGAAAACAATGCTATATAGTTCATAGTGATGGGTAAGCACAAGCAGTATCTGAGCTGACACATGTTTCAGTGACATGGAGCATATGCAAATCTACGTATGCCCATCTGGTATTTAGCAATGCAGCTGTTCAGAATGTATAAGGTGATTCCTCTTTTCTTCACCTTGCACATTAAGTACAGCTGAGCTGCAGTGCAGAAAGAAAATAAATTTTTATTTGGAAACCTTTCAAACATCTTTCCATGGTGTATAAATTAAGAAAACATGTCAGCGAAAACCCAAATTAAAATATGGTATGCAGTAATACAACACTAATTTAAGAATTTTTGATGGAGAAAAACAGAAACAAGTAGAGATGTTTCATTTGTCAACACGCCTGCTCTATTTCCTTTTAATACAGTGCCCCTAGGACAAATTTGTCTGTTCGCATCTCATTGAACTAGTAGCCCCTTTAGAATGAAATAATCAAACTTGGTAATCTAACAACAACAATCAGTATTTATATAATATTTAAGAGTGTTGCAAGTGCTTTATAGTAATTATTTTATAATCCTTATGACCAAGAATTCTCAATGACTAGTGGTAGCCAGTCATTATTTATTGTTTTCAAAATTTTGTTTCAGGAAAAAATATGGTCTCATCTCAGATTTTTCACCGAACCTCTGAAATTCATTGTGAACTTGGAAGTTGTTCTGACTTTTTTCCAATTCTAGGTTTGGAAGTAGGATAGTGTTCCGTCTTTGACAAAATTACACCAAATTGTAGTTCTGATTCAAGGTGAAGAAAGCAACAGTCACCAGAGTGTGACGTGATAGTTAAGGGCACGATGACAGAATTTGTGAGTTTATCTTATAAAGTAGAAAGTAGACTTTCTACTTTCTTGTAAAGTAGAAAGGCATATGGGTAGACTGATATTGCAACCACCTCATTTGTGTGATGGCTGAAATTTGAACCATTTTTGTAAGATGTGTGTGCTTTCTCTGTACTATGGTGCTACATAGTTTACACAGAGTGGAGGGTCAGTTCTTTAATCTTCCAACATGGTTCCAACCTCACACAGTTGCTGTAAGCATAGGAGGGAAGTTTCCAGTGGCACAAGTGTAAGTTTTCCTCCTAGAGCTGGTAGCAACTTTGAGGGAAGAGTGATTTTTTTTTTTTTTGGAATTGTGACAGGAGATAAGAGGGTTAGAAAATTCCACCTTGCATGTTCTGGTCCCCCCAAAAAATTGGTGTTCTGCATCTGCTATTAATTGTTAACAAAAAAGATGCAAATGAATCATTTAGTGTGATACCTGATTTTGTCCTTACTTAAGACCCATTAAATCCAGGAGGATTTGCAAATTAAAATAGATAATAAATGAAATATAAACATTCAGCCACTGAGAAACAGATACAGCATCAAAATTGAGAGGATGGAAAATATATTAATGATGGACATTTAAGAAAAAGATGTAAATATGGAAGTTATGAACATGTAGATCCAGTATTTGCTGAGGCAATAAAGTTGTGATGAACAACTTTTTTCTTGATTATTTTGTACTTAATTATATAGATTTCAGATTATATTGATCATATCAGAATGATTCTATCAAAGCTTTCCAGAGAGATTCCAGTGCAGGAGCACAAGGCTCCGGGTATCTGTTTGTTTGTTTGTTTAAAGTGGAAGGAACAAGCTAAGACCTGCAGAAAGGCCAAATATAACAGAGGTCTAATGTTGGCAATGACTTGTACTCTTTTTCTTCACTGTGAAAGGGCTCAAATGGCATATTTTAAGTGTAAATACAGCTGGTAATGAACACAACTGAATGACATGTTCCACTGACATTGTGAAGCAACAGTAATATAAATATTCATTCCTTTTTAATCTAATATTCATAAACTGTAAACTTGAGATACTATAGACATTAATTTGAAATGATTTTTTAAAATATTACATGCCAATTGTATCTCTGTAATGTGCCTGCAGATGTTAACAAAGTATGAAAGTAGCCCATTATCTTTAATGTGAAAATCTTTAATGGGATGTAAAAATAGGGGTGTGAGCTTTGTCATTATCATTATTCCCCTGAAAGGATTTAAATGAAGGGAAGCACATACATCTTTATTTGTGCATTTGCTATAAATTAATATGGCAATTTTTATTTCTTGAATAGGGAATTCAGAAACCCTTTCACACTGACATTCTCTTTTGAAATGAGACCCAAGTGGTCATTGCAGAAAAATCAAACAAAAATTACAAATATTTTTAAAATGTTAGTGGTTTTCATACTGAACTGTAAGTCTCCCTACTTTTATTCCATAATGCTTGGTACTGTTACCACTCTTAGGGAAATTTTCCCACATGGATTTACTGTTGAGGACTCCTGCACAATCCTGCATGTTGCAGATGATTTGGGGGCATATTGTAGGATATATTATCACTGTGCACAGGGTCCCAGGCAGGCCTGTTGGACCTAGAGATTGCCCACACAAACTGAAAAGGTTCCTTATGAAGTGTCCAACCTTTCCCAAGCTATACATGGCAGGAGACATGACAACAATGAAGATGATGTTTCAGGGAAGCTTTGAATCTTTCATTACTGTGCTTATCAATCATCCTTATAAGAACACAGTTTGAAAAATAAACATCCATGGCCTCCCATGTAGCCTTGACCTCTGCCCTTTTGACTCTTATGTGCTGATTGTTCTCTGCTAGGTAAAAGTATTTGTTTTGTTTGTTAATAATCATAGACAAAGCAACTTCTATAGATTTGCTAAGGTTGCCAAGAAGATTAATTTTTCAGGCTTTTGCTGGCTGGTGAAGTATTTCAAATTCTTACAGCAGTCCATATTTAGCTTCTCCTTTCTCAGTTTTGAGCAAATGTTTGTTGAGGGTTCCAGCTTTAGCCTGTGTCGTGGGACTAAAATCAGCAGCTGCTATTCCAAAGGCATTTTGTTTGACAACGTAATAATAGTTCTTTAATAAAATTATAGTGTACTTTAAGGCCATGACATCCAGATTTATTGTTCTTGTTTTATAAATGCCTTTTTAGCAATAGTAAGCACAGTGACATAAATATTGGGAGGGTGTCATAAAATAGGCCTTTATGCAAATATTTATTTTACTGCATGAATGGTTGGTGAATGATAAGGTAGATTCATCATAGGGAATTGGAGAAGCTGTACCGTCTCAGTGCTCAGTATATTTGTATATACTGTGCTCAGTATATTTGTATAAGGCGCCAGTCTGATTGCAAATATCAAACAGACACACTTTTTAAAAAGTGTCCATGAAAGTACACATGAAAGTTTTCATTCAAGCCAGCGGCAGCAATAACAACTTAATCCATCTTCCATCTGTTAATGTCACCGGATTTTTTAAAAAATACAAGACTTGTGTAGCTTTACAATACTATCAAGAAAAGGAAATTAAACTGAAAACATGGGTGTCAGTCATATGCTGAAAAATACCAATAAATACATATATTAAGAGGAGAATCCAATATTGAACTTGCATCTGATATCTGTGAAGCTTATTTTAAAAACCCAATGGTAGAAGTCAGTTTTGAACTAGTGATGATGCCAGCTTAATAGAAGCTCTTTGCAAAGTTTTCTTTATTTATATATATATATATATATATTTGTAGTTATAGCAAGGGATATACAAATTATCCAATGTAAAATAAGTTATGAACCAAATAAAACATCTCCATGCCAGCTGATCCTGTTAGTGCAAGAATCTTCAACATTTTTGAATCCATGGGCACACTTGCAATTTTCAGAAGTATTCTGGGCACCACCACAGATGGCTTTGTGAAGACATGGCCAACCTAGGACAACCATCCTTAACCTGGTACCCTTCAGATGTTCGGAATTACAGCTCCAACCATTGGCCATGCTATCTGGGTCTAAAAGGAGTGGTAGTGTCCAAAATCTGGAAAGGTTGGGAAAGCCTGAACTAGCATTTTACACTGCTGCATCAGTTTAGGTCAACATTATTAAGGAGTGTGTTTTGGACAAGCTTTGCTTTTAGGTGTCACAGTTATGGGCAGAAATTAAGTATGGCAGAAGATATCTCAGGCAAGAAATCTCAGGCAAGGTATGCATAATATTGAATGATTTTCAGGTACCAAAAAAGCTATTGAGAAGGTAGTATTGCTGCCCTCACCAGCATAGCAGGATGGATCTGCTTAATTTCTGAAAATAGTGTGCAGACTATTTTTATGAACATTTGTATCACTTAGTTGTATAAAATAATAGGGTTTGTTTGTAAGTAACTTCTTTTAGTGCTATTTTTTGAATAGATTGTTTTACTTACTAACCAATTGTATCTCATATTTTGACAGACTTTTACGCTTACGCAATATTTGGTGGCTTAGAATCTCTCAATTTGTTCTTACCTAGAGATTATGAAGAAGATATTTCAAGAAAAGGGCATCTTCACAGGAGATGACAGAGCTTTTAAGCCTCACTTGACGTTCATGAAGTTGTCAAAATCTCCCAAACTACGAAAACAGGTGCAGTTCTTTATACACTACAGTATGTAGGGAGGCTGTGATCCTAAAGAAAACCCTTACTGTAACAGAGGTCTAAATTGTCCTTATACTGTTTTATTATGTAGATTTGCACTTGACATGTACTTAATAGCATAACAATACTGATTCTCCAGTCATACTGATTCTCCAATTTATGTTTTGGAACAGAACTTCTAGAATTGTTCTTGAAGGTCTTGATATTTTCTAGAATATATATATATGTATTAGACACAGTGATAATGTAATCTAACAGAAACAGCGGAAATAATATATGGCAATCTGTTAATATTCCCTGAATTTTTAGTTGTCCTCTTCTAAGCAGAAGCATATTGACTGGGAATGGTGGGGAGAAAGTCAGTTTAGCAGAGTCCTCTTCCCCTGCAATACCCTGTGCCAGTTTGCACACTGCTCCAGAAAGTCCCCTGAATCCTCTGGAGCAGATTTTTGAGGGATATAGGGTTGCAGGAATTTGTGGATCCAAGGCACTATTTATCTGTGTTGTAATCATTCCAGCTAGGTTGTAATACTTCTTGAGGTGCTAAGTATGATATAGAGTTATAGATTTATTACAGTAAGGTAATATTATAACCCTGTTTCTATTAGTGATTTTCTCCAGAACTTTCATTGTGTGTCAAGACATCAAATTATTTGGCTAAACATTTATTCTTTATAATTTATCATTTTCACTTGCATAACTGATTTCTTATAGTTGTTTCCAAAGCACAGTAAGTACACTGAGGGCATTTAGTCTCTTAAATTCTGTTTAATATTTTCTTTACAAACAGTCATTTAATTAGAAAGGGTAAAAACCTTTTTATGTTAAACTTTCAAAATGTAGAATTTAGGAAGTGGAAATATAATAAAGTATAAACTCAGAAAGATGTCATATTTTAATAACAATCTAACAACAATATAATTTACTTGGTATTACAACAATATAATTTACTTGGTATTAATAATAGTGTAGCTTAATTTATTATGATTTATATTTGTTATTTATTAATATTATGAATCCATGAATATATTCTTTTTCAAAAAGGTGAAGTAAATATCTCTTGTTTTTAATATAGAATGACCCTGTTGCCTGCATTTCCCTAATTAGACTTAATATGCTGAGGAATTAAGATTAGCAGCTTTCACTGTTAGAATAGGAAGAATATCAGCTATGCTTGTCCACCTCAGTTGTCACTAGCCCATGCTACTTCTATCCCCACACTTGCTGAATTTTGGCTTTTCCTCTTCTGCTATGGATCAAGAGACCAGAGGATGTAAAACTAGATATTTCCATTTTACTGGTTGACTGCTTAGCATTATTAAGAGCTCAGTGAAAACTGTATGAAACTGCATTATGCATTTTTAAAAAGTGACAAGACTCAATGTCTGACATACCACTAGTCATAGTAAACGAGCCAGAAGGAGCCTTCTGTTTACAGATTCACTCTTACTTTATATCTGCCTTTAGCAGGTAAAATGCAAGCCGTGGTTTATCAGTTTGCATGTTATGGTGAGCTAAGTTTTGTCCCAAACCAGGAAGTAACTAATATCATTAAGGCATGAGAAGAGGAAGGACTGTGTCCCCAAGACTTTTTCCAGGTTTAATTTTATACTGCCATCCATGGTTTCATATTACAACTGTATCTAGTATGATTGAATCTAGTGCATCAGAAGTAAGACATTTCAACAAGTAAAACATCAAAAAAAATTGAGACTTCAAAGTTGATTTTAAAAATCTACTGAGTTTAAAAAGTAGTGAACTGTGTTAAGTATAAATAACCATTAACATGGGTGTCAAAATTCTGTGAGCTACCAAAATTCCTATTCTACATATGTGCCTTTAAATTGGGTATACATTTAATGATACTGCCCAGAACCATCTACATAACAGATTTTATCAATGGAAAAGAAGGCAGGTCCCATATTCGATGATAAAATATCGCACTATAGACCAATAATGGCATCAGTATCAGACAAAAGAAACAACTCTAATATTCAGAAACATTGTGAGAACAACTTTATCTTTTTTTTCATTTAAACTAACTTTCTATGAATATGTTCACATTTTACATAAAACCAAACTGTGACTCATTAGGGCCAACATTTGCCATTAAGACCTTGATAAATGCGCTAGTTTTGCTGCCTAGCTGAGTGTCAGCTAGGATGGTGTCTGGAACTTGGTAAGTAATAACACATGGTTGAATCTGTTAAGGACAGGATTTGTTGTTGTTGTTGTTGTTGTTCTAACTAGCTAAAGATAAGCTTTTTCCATTATGCAGCCATTCAGAAGATGCCATGTCATCTTAACTAGTTACAGCATGGAGACTGAAGAAGGTAACACGTCTTGACTCATAAATTCCTTTAAATCTAGTTGGGGGTCATCAAGATCTAGGGAAAGGAACTTATCTACCAGAGATTTGCAGCTTTGAAGCTGTTTCTCTTTCAAAGACTGGTCAGCGTGTTGAATGGGCTTTCCACTGCGGAACAGCTGTGATATTTCTAGACCTCGGGCAATCACTTTAGGTGGCATGCCAGCCAAAGCTGCAATGTTGGCGGCATGGCTGATAGTGGACACACCTTCTTTGATTTGATAGAAAAAAACAAGTTCATCTCCTTCTTGCTGAGTGTCCATGGCTAGGTATTGCACAAGAGGAGTGTCTGGCAGCAATTTCTGCTGTACCAGGCTATGGAAATTAGTGGCAACAAAAACATGTGGACATTGAGTTGCTGCTTTAATCCAGTGTCGTAACACAGCAGCCAGAAGAGAGAGACCATCTACTGTGTTTGTGCCTTTGCCAAACTCATCAATTAACACCAAAGATCTTTCAGTGGCATTATTCACTGCCTTGGCTACCTGGTTAAGATCAATCATGAAAGTGGACAATCCAAGAGAAACTGACTCTCTGCTATGGATCCTTGTATAGATTCCATCCACTGCCCCTATTTCAGCCTCAGCAGCAGGGACATAACTGCCAGTTAAGGCCATAAATGTAATAAGGCCGACCTGCTTTAAATATATACTTTTTCCAGATGAATTGGGCCCAGTGAGTATCTTAATTCGGCCATATGTTTCACTGCTCTCCACTGAGTTGGGCACAAAAGTCTTTGCACTTAACTCCATCAGAGGGTGCCTTCCATCCTTGATACGGATAACATGGGAATGAGAGAAGCATGGTCTGATATATCCATTCTCTCGAGCTATTACTGCCAGGGACAATAGCACATCCAACTGTGCTGCATATTCAGTCACATCACTGAGTACTGCAGATCTTTCCAGAATCTTTGTCTGCAGCTGGTACATGATCAGTGTTTCCTGGTCTCTTATTTCACAGTGAAGGTCACCAAGCAAGCTGTCCAATTCTTTTGTCCTGGCACTACGGTAGTGCAGCTTTTCTTCTGATAAAAACATAAAATCCAAACCATCAATCTCAAAGTCATTTTTGTCCACCATTGAGGGTAACCGTGGAATAGAGAGTAAGAATCCTATTAAAGGTATATAAATAACACTACAGGATGGAATCCTATTATCCAGGTCCTCCAGTTCTTTTCGGGCAACATCTGTAAGGAAATCTGAGAGTCCCATCAACTTTCGTTTCTTTTCATCAATGGTGGGATCTACATTTGGTCGGACGATGAAATGGTTTTCTGATATGCTGCCTTCAAAGTCTACCACTTTGCTAATTAGACTGGCAATATAGTGTAGTTCATCAGTGAAAACCCGTGAAATAGTCTGAAATAGCTCAATGGCGCTGGGTAGGGAGCGACATGTATCTCTGAGACATACAGCACTATAAACAGTTTTGTACAGTGCTTGCCAGTCACTTACCTTTGTGTTAGAAAGAGACATCCTCCTAAGGATCAGAGGTACATTTTTAATATTTTTGAGGCATTCCTGTAGAGTAAGAACAGTTTCATGATTCTGAGCTAACAAAAAGAATTGAATAACATCTAAGCGTTTGTTCAGCTCTGTCAAATTGCGGGTGGGCCTCATGAGCCACAGTCTCAGCAGCTTCTCACCCCATTTGCACCTACACTGGTTCAGAATTCCATATAAGCTGAGTCCTTCTTTTTTCCCACTGGCTTGTTTATACACAGAAGGATGTACTTCACTTTTAAATATCTGCAACACATGGTAAGTGTCTTGATCTACATTTACAATATCAGTCAATACAAACTTTTTAAAGGCCAGAATGGGAACGACCACGTGACTGTCTTCCAGTTCAACTCCAGGCCTTCTCCTGTCAAGAAACTTCAGCAGCCCTCCTAATGCCCTTAATACAAGTGGACTCTCAAAAGGAATAATGGAGGATAAATAGAGGATGTTCTCAGTTGCTGTCATGGAAGCAGGGACAAAGGGAAATTGCCTTGATAGAATTCTCTGCTTGCTTACCTCTAAGCCAAAATCCATATTTGGATAGAGGACAACCTCTGGCTTTCTTCCTCCTTGCTTGTCTCCTGTGGTATCACCTATATTGGTCAGGAATTTAGCTATACTAGAATCTTGCTTGGCACTACTTAATATGCATTTGGGAAGTACCTCTTCAACCACTTTCTGTAGCAGCTTAAGGTCTTCATTATCTGGTGTGTCAGTCATGAAATAGATTGAGCAGTCTCCAGTATCGTAATAAGCAATCCCCAGTTCTCCTCCATACCACAGTACACACATGTAGACCTCAGGTTTCTCTTGTTCATCTTCTTGTTCAGTCACAGGTGGTGGTTGAAACTGGCAGTGGGTATTTAGTGTAGCAGTAGCACTCATTTTGTAACAGAATTTTCGACGCTGTGTGGCTAGGTTAGTAAGAACATATTATTTAGTGGTTCATCCTTTAAGACTCCTTGGTTGTCACATAATTAGCCCCCCTGGTGAGTAATAAGCTATCTCCAAATGCATCATACTGCTTTTATTGTTCCTTACATCCCACTCTATCCATTTAAAAAATGCCCATGTATATGGCACTTAATCTGTTAGGGGATTAGCAGTGTTAAAGAAAGCATCTAGCCTCAGAAGGTATCCTGTTGCAGGACCACACTCATGACCTAGGTGAAGACAAATGAAAGGTTTCTGCCTTCTAATCATCATTTTCCTGACCTACTGACAAATTTTGTTAATAGCCAATTTCACAAAGAAACTTTCTAAAGTAAAATTACAGAAATAGTTAATTGAATCACACATGAATGTCTTTTTAATGCTGTGGTCTATGCATACTGAGGTGAAGTATCTGTTACATAGCTGAAAGTTTAGGTGGTATTTCTGTGTTTTACTGCAGTAGCTATAATTGCCTGTTTGTAATATAGAAAGGTACACAGTTGTAGCATCTAGATATGCTGTAGAAAGTTGTGTAGTTTTATATAAGAGAGAGATAATAGTGAATAGAGAGATAGATATGATATTATAATGGGTTTAATGACAACCCATGGGCAGGCATGAGTGAGATGAAGGAAGTGTAGTATTCACTTCCACATTCATTTTACAACCTATAATCACACCCAGAGTAAACCAAAGGTTTAGTCTGTGTTGTTTAACCCCTAAACTGCTCAGTTGTTTGGCTTCGGTTGTTACAACAACCGCCTATCATAGGGGTGATCTTAGGTTATAAAATGGAAGCAGAAGAGAGGAGTATGCCTGAGGGTGCACAGTTACAATCTTCTGGATATACTTGTCAAATTAAGGGTTAGTTAACCCAAGATCTGCCATTACATTTGACCTGGGTTCATATGTGTCAGGCGGTGAGTGAGAATGCAATGCAGGAAGAAGATAATCAGCTTTGTTTTTCTTCTGGTGCTGCTGTTTATACTATATAACAGCTACATTAGGAAGGCTTGCAGACATTCAGTATGGAACAATCTAATGTGCTCTGAGAGGCACATAAATCTTCAAACTTGGATGCAATCTCCCTCATGTATTTATTATTTTATTTAGTCTTTCCTAGAATTTGTACCTGAACTATTGTTAAGGTGGTAATTCTGAAAATGGTTGTTACTGAAATTCTCAGAGTAGTGACTCTAGAGGAAATAGATTTAGTATACATAATAAATGGGTGGGATCAGATTTTTTAATAGTAATATTTATTTTCAGATTATTTTGTATGAGAGGCAGGTAATAAAATTCTCCCAGAATGAATTTGAATGAAACACAGTGAACTGGACTTCAGTGGAAATTAGAGTTAATAGTTATACTTAATTCTTCTTCATGACAACAATATAGTACCACATGTCTTTTGCTAGCAAGGATATAATTAAAAATATGAATAAGATACTGAAAAAGTTTAATCATACTTAGAGTAGACTCATTGAAATCAGTGGGGCTCTAATCAATTTATGTCATGGGTCTATTTGAGGAATGAATAAATCTGGATCCGGCTCGCTGTGTTTGCTTTTCACATCATTCAAACAGAATGCATTAGTAAATACAGGAACATTGGAAGAACAGTGTTTCATTGTATTTTATGTCAGCAATACAAATTGGTTTCATAAAGGACCAGTGTTATCTAAACATTGTATTCAAGTCTTAGAATTCAGAGGCTCAGGTTAAAGTTTGATTATATGATCCATTTCAGAGCTTTTTCTCAAAGTAGGGCATACTTTTTTCTATAAAGATTTGTGTGTGGGAAAAGGTAGCCTGAGTGCTTTACCTTAAAACTGTTGCAGTTGTGATGCAGACTGTATGAAAAGCCACAAGATCAATTACAGAGCTGACAGTCTTCTGGGCTTGTACTGATCAGGACTGATCCTCTGTTTTAAAATACCATGCTCAAAATGGTGTCCATGGATTATATATGACTGAAAATAGAAAATAATAATTTCATCATATTTACATTACTGCCCTATTCTTTGTAACTTTATCTTAATATTATAATTGAACACACTATTATAGAATAGAAGGGCTTCTCAGTGGTTGTACCCTAACTTTGGAATCTGTTCCCCAGAGTAGTTCACCTAGTGCCCTCATTACAAACTTTTTGGCACCAGGCAAAAACAGATTTATTTTCCAGGGATTTTAACAGTTGACTAATTGAATTGTACTAAATTAATTTTAATTTTAAGTTGATTGATTTTATGAAATTTTTAGCATGTTTTATTCTGCTATATTGGCTTAGAGTAACTTTTAACATACTGTGTAGCAGTCATAATTCTATTATTTTAATAGATTTTAGAATTATAAATATTCTTTGTATAATTTATGTTTTGTTGCTGTTGTACACTACCCAGGGAATCTCATATGACAGTCCTCCACTCATAAAATTCTGTGAATGTGGCAAGGTGATAGCACCATAAAAGACTTGTCTGAAAAAGAATCACACACATACAGAGGCGCACACAAGCACACAGACCAGGCTGCTCAGGCTGTTTTGATGATGTTACAGGCATAATAAAATGTGTATATTAATTAACAATTCACACAACTAACTTCATGCCTAATTTCAGCCCAGTATGTTGTAAGAGAAAGTTGTATGGCTTATGATGAGCCAGTGAAATGTAGAGTTCCAAAATAATTATCAGCATGCATATGACGTGCCTTTTTTAATTCTTCTGCTGAGCTAAGTAAATGATTGATCTCACTCAGTAAAGGCCATTCTTGAACATATTTTTTCTGGGAACAGATGGTGAGGAGGGGGTGGAATATTCTGTTTAATTATATCTTAAATGCTTGACACACAGAAGTAGTAGTCAGTTCTTGACTGCTTGGACACAGTCTTTCACCAATACCCTCTAAATGTTTAGACTCCTAGCATACCTGACCATTGGTCATGCTGATTGTGGCTGATATGAATTGAAGTCCCAAACATCTGGAGGGCAATATATAGGACAGCCTGCCCTAACATTTGACTCTAAACTGCTGGATGCAGACCATCAACATGCTCCTACAGAAAGCATACTCCATACTTAAAATTGCATAGTTAATAACACATTTGTACTGTACCAACACTGTGTCCTCCTTGCAGTCTTTTGTTATAAATACATTTCTTCCATACAAATCAGCAGTATTACTTCACCTCAACTCATCCTTGTACCACTGTTAAATCCTAATAATTTATGTATCAATACTATCACTACCTTCCTTTCCAGCTAAGAGTTCCACTCATTCCCAGTTGTATTACCAACTAGTATTAATTTAATTTCCTTTTCCTTCACACTTTATCTGCCTATGTCTGTATTAAAAATTACATAGCTTTTGTTAACAAATACATCATATAGAAAGAAAATTTTAAAATATTTAACTTTCAGTCCCTAAAAAATCCTAAATATTGAAGCCTTAAACCCATTCTTCATTCATGACTATAAAAGAGCTGCTAATTTGGTTGGTCAAACCCACTAACATTAAATAAACATATTAAATCCTTCCCATTTGACTATTTTCTGTACTTCTGAGAAATTCTGCACCCATTTTCTTTTCTTTCTTGTGTTAACAGTACAGATAATAATCCTATAATTGTACTTTTTATTTATTTTTTAAAGAAGATTCAGGATTTATATTAAAGGCTGTAGAAACTACTTTTCTGATCCTTTCCATCTTCCTAAACCTTGTTGAATTGTAATCTTGCCTTTATGCCATCATATATCTATGTTAAATCTTCTCACAGTGTCCTTTAGTCCACCTCCGCCCTGAGCATGCATGCTGTTACCAAAGTATCTCCCCTCAAGCAGTTTTCCTCTCCTTTCCAGTCAGAATACCACACTACAGTCTTTCTTAGTTTCAGCATCTCAAAATGCTGGAGCTGAGACAGGATTTTCCATTTTCTCAGTAGTCATTCACAAAGGTGGCTCCTGTCACTGATGAAATGGGGGTAAGGAGCTGAAGGGAAGAAAAAGATTTACTCGCTGACAGGAACTGACTGGAAAGAGCTTTCACCACAAGGTCATGGAGATGCATGAAGACACTGATAAAACCCAAGGGAGTCTTTTTTACAGCAGTGGGCAACTTGTGGCCTTCCAGGTGTTTCAGCCTACAACCAAGGGCTATGCTGGCTAGGCTGAATGGGAGTTTCAGGCCACAACATCTGGAGGGCCACAGGTTGCCCAACCTGATTTAGAAAATCTTACAAAACAGGAATTCTTTCTTGACTGTAGTATAATCATCATTTTGTTTGTAATTGGGAAGGAGGTTAAGTTACAGCTTTTTCTGCCTTTCTGAATCCATTAACACTAGGTTACTTTACTTGGAGGTTTTTTAAAACAGATTAACACAGGACTGTGGGAATGCAAACGGAGCAGGATATTAACACAAGACACTGTTCTGAAGAGCTCAGGACCCATGTCCCCTCATACAGAAACATCCATTCTGCCTACCAAGTGGACAGAAATGCCTGCATAGGAGCCAAACAAAATGGGGCGGAGGCACAAGTCCCTCATGATGTAACTGTCGCTGGGCCGTACCATTTCAGTCTGCTGGCAGGGGACAGGGTACTTTAAATATCTGAATGCTCCCCTGCACAGAATACTTTCTGCCTGTACAAAGCTAGCAAGGTAAGGAGATGGTTCCAGGTTTGGGCTTTGGAGATGTCACAATCATACTGTGCACATGCATATTCACATGCATTAGGCAGGCCTGATTCCACTCCAGACAGGAATACAACTCTGTTTCCAGGGCAAAGCTGTTCTTCTTAGCAATTTCAGTGTCCATAGTTCCATGGATGGGAAGATCTGTATTGCCTCAGTGCAAATCGAATTCCATATGCAAACTGTTTTCAGAGTCCTTAATGTTAGTTCTGTTTTTCAGTTCAGTTTGCAGCACAAGCCTATGCCCATTCAGACGGAATAAAGTGTTACAGATCCCAGCATCCTTCAGTGGGACTAGTTGTGGGACTTTTTTCTGCCTGAACATGCAGAAGCTCATTCACATGGGAGCTATTAATGGCTGTTGAATGGTATATAAAAGCAATAAATAATAAAAAATAAACTGACACTTAACAGGCAGATCCTCCCCTCCTCTGTTGTCCTGCTCTGCATTTTCACATGCCATTTTTGGTCATGAAGCATTGGCATTTCAGAGTGGAGGAAAGGATGGTGGCATAACTATAGGATACCTCATGTATCATCCCTTCCAGTCTCCTCCCTTCCTCCCCCCAGTTGCCCCCCTTAACCCTTTTCCAAGGCTGCTTTCCCCACACTGGGGAGCAGCCAGTGCAGTTGTGCAGGGGAGAAGGACTGGGGACGAAGTTCCAATTCCCAGGAAGCTGGGAATCTCAACTAGCCAGTAGGCCCTTGGACAATATGTAGGAGGCACAGATTGTTTCCTCCATGCATCATATTTATTAGTGCCTTTTCTAATGGTGGCATCCACAGTGGCCTACAGATGAAAATAAAACAATAATAAATATACAAAAGACAATAGAATGTGTTCAGTGCATGATGTGAACAGTTTTCACTGTTTCACAAATGATATGAATGTTCATCCTAACAGTGTGTACTTTCATGGCAATATATAACATTAATATAATGTTTCAAGATACAGTATCTTCCCATAAAGGAAGGTCTTAACTTAGTGATGAAAACTAGGTAAGTGAGGCTGCCTTTTCCCAGCTCTCCAAGTCTACTTGCCAAAATTATGAAGGATGGAAACTGGTGATCTTTTAAGATTTAGAAGGGATTTTATGTATTTTGTTTCTCATTTATGTAAATATTATCTGTCAAGTAATGGACGAAATGATGTATTTTTAAAATATATATATTTGAGGATATGACAGTGTATTGTACTTTCACATTGTCATGTATGGCACTGTACAGCTGGCTGCACATTATACCCCAACTGAATCAGTTTCGAACTAGACTAGATGATTTAAGTCGGAAGCAGAAGAAATGGGAAACCAAACATCAGATGGATTAACTCTGTCAAGGAAGCCACAGCCTTGAATTTAGAACAGGTAAGCAGGGATATCATAGACAGGACATTTTGAAGGGCTTTCATTCATAGGGTCTCGGTAAATTGGAGATACATAACAACAGAGGATTAAGGTTGAGATCGGTCATATGTAGTTCATATGATTTACCACTAGATGTCAGTGACATTTCAAGAATTGAAAAAGCACATTTTTTTGTACAGTAACCAGAATTGAACCTTATATATTATTCTGAAACACTTAGTCCTTACCCTGAAAAGCATCTTCAAAAGTAAATGCATGCTTGAATAAATTGAAAAATGTTATCTGGAGCCTCATGGAGGAATGCCTTGTTTCAGGGCCTAACACAGACAGGAACACCATCCATGTTTTCATTTTTATTTATTTTTTATTGTGAAATTCAAAATGAATACCAAAATGAGTAAAACAAGCACATTAAAAATAAAATAAAGCATTGTAGTTTTCTTATATGAGATGCATATATATTATTAGTATGCATGTGCCATAAAGTCATATTTGACTGATGGCAACACTATGAATGAAAGCTCTGCAAAATGTCCTGTCCATGTCAACTTTATTGAGCTCTTCAGACTTCAAGGCTGTGCCTTCCTTTGCATATTCAATCCATCTCATACTTGGTCTTCCCTTTAATCTTTTGTCTTCAACTTTTCCTAACCTGGCTGTCTTCTCCACTGAGTCTTGCCTTCTCATGATATATCTGAAATATGACAGCCTCATTGTTGCTTCTAGGGAAAGCTCTGGCTTGATTCGATCTAGGATCGACTTGTTTGTCTTTCTTTGGGCCAAGATAGTTGCAAAGCTGCCCTCCAGCACCATGTTTTGAACACATCGATTTTCTTCCAGTCAGCTTTCTTCACTACCCAGTTTTCATTTCCATAGATTGTGATTGGGAATGCAATATACAAACAGATATATTATAAACTCCCATATATCTTATGTATGACAAAATATAAAACTATAATTGAAGATGGGTTAGGGATCGTCTCAGCTATCATGGTGACCTGGGGCAAGATGTTTTTAGTAAAGCCTTGTATTTTGAGTGGATTTACTGCCTCACCACTATCTCTGCATGTTTTCTCAAGGCCCAAGCTACTTAAAACTGCTCACAGGGAGAGTACAAGGCAAGTTGAGGGTGCTGCTTCATATTCTCACTCTTGTCACTCACTACATACATGGAGAGGGCATGTGAATTGTCAGAAACAGCAGGACTAGGAGGTTTAGGACTAGGAGGTTTCAGGGTCAGCTGTGGGCCTTGGCAGGTGACAAACAACACTGACCTCTGCTGGAAGCCCTGCTTACTGCTGATACCATTTACTGATTTTTTCAGATTAAATAAATTGTACCAATGCATCAAGTATCTGATTTTATTATATTCATGTGCATCCTGTTGTACAGTAATGGTAATTTGGTTATTAGCACTAGTAACAGGTTGCCATGCAAAAGACACGGTGAAATGTTGGGAAGCTATTTGGCTGTGGCAGTGGAATGTAGTCCTGATACTGCTTATGTGAATTCATTCACTGAGTTATTTTGGTTATTTGAAACTTCAGATTGTAGAACCAAGATGAAAGGAATATAATTTAGTTACTTTATATAGTGTTGTGTGCACCACTGATGCTGTATTTTTCTTCTTTCTCTGACCAATTGCATTTTCTCTGATATTTCAAGGGGGTGAAAAAAATTGATGCAACTTTGTTTGAGAATTTCAAGAACCATTATTTTGGAACTGAACCCATGAAACGTCTAGATCTGTGCTCAATGTTGAAAAAAAAGCAACCTGATGGCTACTATTACTGTGAGTCTTCTATCACAATAGGTAAGAACAACATATTTCTTGAGCTTTTGTAATTTTGCCGGAAACAGAAAGTGTTCTTTGTTTGGTCTTGTTTCATTTATTCATCCTCCTTCTGCTTTCTCATTTCTGCAGACTATACATTCCACAAATGTTTGCTGATTTCTTTGAGAATTTTTCACACAAATAAAGCATTAGTAATGCTATCTTGAAAACAAGGGCCTCTGGGTAGGACTTGAAAGATTCGTCACACAATGTCACCCCTTTCTTAGCTGTTGGACTTCTTAGAAAATGGAAGCAATGGGTAGCACATGAATTTATAATTATCAGAGCTGAAAACATGATTGATACATTAATAAGTGAAAGTGTTATTTGCATTGTTTTTCCTCTGATGGATGAATAAGAGACTGAGCTGAAAGACACTGTTGCATGCAGAATCAGTCTGTATTCCCTGTTGTGCCAGATTTGATGGAAAAACAGAATCCCTAAAGATAACCATTTCCTCTAGCTAAATTGAAAGTTAGGTGATATTTTACATTTCTTCGTGTGATCACTTTGACTTTCTCGCATTGAGAACCAGAGTCACCTGAAAATGGCAATGCTCAGTATCAATGAGAGTGCAGTCGTATTGCCCCTGCAGCAGATGCGTGAAACATCCAATGTCAGGAGTGAGGCAGGGCTGCAGCAATTGTTGCTGCTATAACTCATGCCTGCATTTTCTCTGCATGGCTGTTTTGGCCATCTAGATTTAGTGCTGCAGAGGAAAGGAGGCTGGGGCACCAACTGGAATCAGTACAATCCAGCAGGCCCAGCCTCCTTCACTTTCCATACTTCAGCATTCCCATTTTCTGCCTCTGAGGCCCTGTTGTGATGGAGGCAGGCTTGGAACAGTTCTTTCCATACCAGCTGTGAGGTGATCGGGCAGGGACTCAACCTTTAGAATCCTAGCTCCAAGTCTGCAGGAGCTGGCTTAAGAGATCTAAAATCAAACATATCAATAATGCCTCAAAATGGTACAAATAGTATACATGTGTGCACGTACTTATACACAAAGTTATATATTGGACTATCGTAACACCCTTTAAGTGGGGCTGCCCTTGAAGACAGTCTGGGTACTTTAGTTGGTCCATAATAAAGCAGCCGGGATGTTAACAGGGACCAGCAGATGTACATATATAATACTGACCCTTTAGCATCTACACTGGCTACCAATTGAAGTCCGGGCCCAATTTAAGGTGCTAGTGATGACCTTTAAAGCCCTAAATGGCTTGGGTCCAGGATACCTGAAGGAGTATCTCCTTCCCTATGTGCCTGCCCACCCCTTAAGATCTGGGTCAGAGGTCCTTCTCCAGGAGCCTTCTGTGAAGATTAGGAGAGTAGCTACTCAGAGAAGGGCCATCTCTGTGGTGGCACCCTTGTACGGAATACACTCCCCAGAGAGGTTTGCCTGGCACTGACACTTTATTCTTTTCGGTGCCAGACCAAAACCTTTTTATTCTCCCAATATTTTAAGGTTTAAATTGAGTTTTTAAGTGGGTTTGTATTGTATAGAATGGATACTGTGCTTCACTTTGTTTAATTGTAAGACCACCCTGAGACCATTTGGTAGTGGACAGTATACAAAAGTTTTAAATAAATGAATAAATATTTCCAGTATATAACTCATTCCTGCCTTTATGCTTCTGGGCCCAATTCAAGGTGCTGGTTTTAATCTGTAAAGCCTTATATGGCTTGGCACCACAATACCTGTTGGAGTGCCTCTCCCAACTCCAATCTACCCAGACATCATGCTCAACCTCTGGGGCCTTCCCTCCAAGTATCAACTCCTCAAGAGGCTCGGAGGGTGGAAACTAGGAGAAGGCCTTTTCTGTGGTCCCCTCCTCATCTTTGGAACAACCTCTCTGCTGCAGTACTTTTGGTGGCAAATTTGCCATCTTTTTGGTGCCAGGTGAAGGCAGCCCTCTATGTGGAAGCCTTTTAAGATTTCCTTGGTCATCCAGCAATCTGAGGTGATTATTTTGGTAAATCATCTTGCTTTGTCTTTTCATTGTATTTCATTGTATTTTAAACTATTTAAAATTAATTTAAACTCTTTTAACATTGCTGTTTTATGTTATTTGTATAGCATTTTATTTCTTTGTTTTATACCTTGTTGTAAACTGGCCCGAGAGCTTCAGCTACAGGTGGAATGGAAATGAAATCATACCACGATTAGTAATAGTAATGCTTTTCTTGAGTATTCACTCTAATTTAAACTATTTTTTCTTAAGAAAATCTTAGTCTCATATATGCACATCATAGAAGTTGACAGGTTGAGTGCAGGATTGTTGGATGTAACCATTTATAACAACTGGTTACAGTCTAGAGAAAATTAAGCATACTTCCAGTTGGACTTCAGGATATGATTGAATAAAATTTACATTGCTGTCAGTGAGATTTAAGCATAGCAAACATTCTTTGGATTACATTCATTCTCTTTGCTCCATAAAATACTCACACCTAGATAATATCTCTAAGTAAAGAATCTTCAAGGAAACTAGTCTGAATGGATGCACAAAACAAATCTGGGAACCAGAATACCTGGCAAGTGTGAAGGTGTTCAGGAACAATAAGTAGCTGTCTAAAAGGTCATAATGTGAACAATTCCATGGTGAAATGCTATAGCTGGAGGCCATAAGAGTAAAAGCTCAGTCAGTTGTGTGGTATAGTCTGGCCAACTCCTTTTCTCTTGCAGCTGCTTAAGAGTCCACTTTTGAAGCCTAATGTAGGCACAAGTGCATCTCTTTTTCTGTGCAGTGGCCATGGAGAAGCTTGTCTAGTAGGTTCTGTGATTCTGTGAACACTGGATTGTTATGTTTTGCAAGAACTTTACTTGGTTGAACAATGCATTTTTAGCCCACAATAATGAAAAGGTTTATTATCTATACTTAATTGAACATCTCAGTCTCCAATGCTAAAATATATGTGTTTCAAAGCTCACTAGCCTTGTTTCAATTAGTTTTTTTTAGTTATATAAGAAGTCATCTTGATGACACACTCTCAGATTCAGCGAAGAACCACCACAAGCAGAATCTGTGGCTTTGTTTGTTAGCTGATTTGGCTGTGGATGTACATCCAGATCCACCGCCAGCCACATTCTGATGTACATCTATGTCCACATTATTATGTCTGTCCAAGCTGAACTGAATATGTACATGCTAATCAAAAGGCATGAGTTGTTATATACAACTAGTTGCACCCTGTCAGTGCTGGATCAGAATCAAAGGCTTTGTGTGAACAGAAAGACGGGGTGAGGACCCTCATCTCCAGTGCCGTTTTCCTGATCAAATGATTACAGTCACATGCACATGCACACACAAACCTGCTTTGTGGTAAAGAAAACATCATAATGATTACGTCTGATCATGGATTTTGGGTGTGGATTTTGACCTTAAGCCTCCACCTTTAGTTACTAATACAGTATGGTTCAAGGTAGAATATTGATCTTGTGTAAGAGACAGGTGTGCTAACAATAATATAGTTACATTTTCAGCTTGAGAGAAATAAATATCTATTACTGGGGATTTTTTTTTCTTTTGCTAGCCTATAACATTTTCTCAAGGTATTTTTACACCAGGGTTAGGTGCAAAATTAGCCAGGGAAAGGCACTCATGCAGTCAATTCAATATTGGAAACATAATGTTTTTAGTTAATGACAAGGGTTCATATTAGGTTCAGTATGATGCTCAAATTAGTTCACAATATTGTGACATATGTCCTTTGCTTCTTGTCCTGATCCTTTACAATTTTTATTCTTGTCATTTAGAAGTATATTATCTATGATTAAACATCCAAGATAAGGTTCTTGCTATAGCATTGCAATCCATTGTGGGTTTTTTTACAGTTTTCATTCTTTTTAACTTATTTTACTTGTCAGTTTTTAAAATTTGAATGCAGTTGCAGCACCAGGTTATCAAGTTTTGCTTGCACTAGCAAGGTACTATTGACTGGGAGAGGGTGACTTGGTGTGCCATCTGAAATCTCCTTGCTCTTCACTGGGGTGGTTTATAAGCCATATAAGTTCTGGCTTAAGAACATAAGAAAAGCCATATAGGATCAGACTAAAGGTCCATCTATTCCAGCACTCTGTACACACAATGGCAAACCAGTAGCCCTCAGGATCACTCAAGCAGGATGGGTTCAAGACCTCCACCTGCCCAAGCTCCTCAGCAACTGGGTTATGCAGGCAGGCCACCTCTGGTAAAGCAGGTAGCACATACCCAGCTGGGCTAGTAGCCAATGATCTCCTCCCCCCTCATGAATCTGTGCAATCTCTTTTTGAAGCCACCCAGATTGGTGTCCATCACCTCTTCCAGTGGCAGCGAATTCTATACTTTAGCACAATGTTGTGTGAAGAAGCACTTTCTTTATCTATCCTAAACCTTCTGCCAGTCACCTTCATGGGATGATCCCAGGTTCAGGTGTTAGGGAAAGGAAGAAAAATGTCTCTCTCTGCCCTTTCTCCATACCATGCATTATTTTAAACTCCTATTTATTTATTCATTTGATTGATTGATTTATACTCCACTTTTCCCCCAGCAAACTCAAAGCAGCTAATATCATTGTCTTCTTCCTACTCTCAATCTTATCCCCAGAACAACAATCCTGTGAAGTAGGTTGGTCTGAAAGTCTGTGACTGGCCCAAAGCCACCCAGTTAGTTCCATGGCTGAGTGGGGACTAGAACTCAGATCGCCTGTGTCCCAGTCCTGTGCTTTTAACTACAACACCACACTGGCTTTTTCATGTCGTCCTTTACCTTCTTTCTAAGCTGACCAGTCCCAATTGTTGTAGCCACTATTCATAGGAGATAATTTTTGTTGCCCCTTTCCATCCATTTTCCACCTGGTCATCTTAGAACTCCACTGCATTTCTATTTAAATGATAGTTATAATTTTGAAATTGGCGCAAGTTAGTATGCACACATTTTATGCAAGTTTGTATTCTCTTTTGTCCTCTTTGTTGGTGATGCATTGTCTTTTTTGAC